AATAAGAGGCGGTATGTTAATTTTGTCATTCTGTTTGTAAATCAGTGAAATATCGGTCGAAGACCCCAAATTGAAGACTTTATGTCGGTCCGTCTGTCTGCTGAAGGTAGTAGAAGAGATTCAGGGAATATTGAAATTCTCCAAAATATTCGTTATTGAAAATAGGCTAAATCGGTCAACCAGACTATCTAGCTAAATCAATACGTCTGCCTGTTTAAGACAGTAGGAGGCATCCAATGGTAAACACCTGCCTTGTTGGCCTAATTTCTCGGAAGTCTTTTTCAACCACAGGGTAAGCTAGAAACGTTGCTATTGGCACCTTGTGATCCCTAAGAAACTGATGATAATTGTTGTAGAAAGCAGACACCAGACCATCTGCAGGCCCCTTGACCGAGTACTTGTGCTATCTATTCTCTGACTATCGCTGCACCGATGCGAGATGCATCACTTCCTCTAACAACCAGATAAATAGAATGGCCTCTGTTGATCCGGAAACAACAATATTCTATTGATATCAACACATTCCCAACATTTAGCTGTACAGTACCTCCTCTGAGGGGTCTCTGATGTCTTTACGGAAACAATATTTTCTTCCCGCGATTTCAGTTCCATCACAATCACTACATGCAACCCGAAGGGTCCTCTCTCTCCAACAACCGTCCGAAACTTTGCCCGGTCCCTTGGTACCAAATAGGTCAGATTCCCTTATCAGATCGCGATTAAAATGACTCCCCCAGTATATAGTCCTCACAAAGTGAGGGTTCCCCAAGATAACATGGCCTGGAAATCTAGGGATTATAAAAATTCACAAAATTTCACAAATATTTTGAACTGAAAATGGGCAAAATCGGTAAATCAGAAAAATTAATCAAAGTTTCTAGAAATTTTAGAATTTTTAGCCAAAACTACGTTGAACCAGTAAAAAGTTTTAAATCAAAATTAATAATTCTGATACCTATAGTTTGCACTATAGGTCCCAGAAATATTTGCTACTAAATATGAGCAAAATCATCCAACTTTGCAAAAATCACGTTTAATTTCTTTAATGTTTGCATAAATGTTTCCGAAAGAAAGTATAAACAAATGTGGCTCCGATATACTCCGGTAGGACCCAGAGTTAATATAATCTAGGGCAATGGTTCCCAAATGGGGCTTCGTGGACCTCTAGGCATCCTTAGCATCATTACAGGGGTATCCTAGAGTAGATAATAGAATTTCTGGATAATAGATAATAAAATTTCCAGAAAAAAGTTTGGATCCAAATATGTACATAAAAATCATTATTCCGATGTCGGAGTCACAATAGAGCAAGAGGTGAAAATTTTCCAAACTATTCATTTCATCAGACATTATAATAAATTATTTCCTTAGTGGATATATATCAGTCGTCTTTGCCGAATATACTTTAAAACATTTACTTCTTACTTACCACAAACTAAACTTGTCTGAACTTTTGGCTGCCACAACGGCTACTACAACAAAAAACACTTTATATGCAAAACATATAAATAAACATAAACAGCAGAAGCAACAACAATAACACCATCAGCAGCAGCAGCAACAAGTATGAGTTGTTTATTCATATTTAAGTTCCTTGTAACCTAAGGTAATAATTTTTTAAATTATTGTTCGTTAATGTTGCATACGTACTTCAATACTTCATTCTCATTCATTCATTTATTGGTGACATTCTTTCATGCGTCATAAATTTGTTTATGAGTTTTTGTTGCTTTTTTTTTATTCTACGAATATTGATGAGTAATAAACGCGGTGGCATGTACAAAGTTAAATTGGGGTTATTACGCATGTGCGTATTAATATTTGTAAGCAAATGAGTTTTTAAGGATTTTGTAAGGTAATGTTGTGAGTCATTAGTGAGCAGGGAACTAGGATGTGTCTGGTAGACAACATCAGCTGGAAGTGATTTGTTTTTTATTGTAATATATATTAGTAATGTAGTTTTAATGTTGGGTGTTTTATAATAAAGTGGTGTTAATGTTATTGTATAAGGATTTTAAATTAATTCAGTGGAAAAGATACATTTTCCGTAGTAACTTTACGAGATTTGTTTTCATTTGCAAACTATTGCCGTTTTTTCTCTTTTCTTTTGGTCTTTATATGTTCTGTGATCAAAATGTTACTTTTAACGTCCAAATTAACGATTCAATTATGCGATATGTCAAGCGACGATCTTCTTCAGCAGAGGAACCGATTAGACTTTGAAAAGTCAGCTCAACAAGATAGTCAAGCGGAGATCTTCTTCAGCAGAAGAAACAAATAGACTTCGAAATGTCAACACAACATGACCTTGAATCGATGATCTTCTTCAGAAGATGAAATCAATAGATTTCGAAAAGTCAACACAACGCGGAATATTCAGATAAACTTTCTAGAATACTTTCGCTTTGAGAAACTTTCATCTCTTTAATTTCAAGTAAACTATTTTGTCCTAAAACTAGATCCAAGGACTAAAATAGTTTAGATTTATTTAATGTCAGCACTAAGCAACAAGTAAGAAAGTCAAAAAGAGAAATTGGATGGAAGGTAGAAAAATTTACGGTAGGTTCGGAATCAACTCTGAATAGAATTATTTGAGTTGTCATAGAACATTTTTCATGAAAATCTTAAAACACTACATTAAATGATTTATTCCAATTGGTCTATTTTCTAATTGGAAAAACAGGACGTTAAAAACCATAGTTGGATAAATTCAAATCAAAATGATTTAACGGAAAGTTTTATTAAAGCGATGAACCGGCTTTGATAGTTTCTTAGTACTCTTCAGAATACCGCTCATCGATAAAAGGGTATTACTTCCATTATTGTAATTCCTGCGACATTGCAGATTTCTTTCCTTAATGGTTAATGAGCCTAATGGTTCTATTATAGAAAAATTGTTCTATAAAGCTTTATGTCAAATTTGAATTTGAATTCACCTTCAATTTTCAGTTTATGATCGATTATGATGCTCTAGATGTGGGTGATGGCCTATATCAATTCCAATAGGAGTTTTTTTTCTTCTTTTGGACCTGAACTCAGGGAATGACCTGTTCTTATGCAATGCATAATGATGAAACTAAGAAAAGAGATTATGAGTTTGTCAATATAAGGTTTAGACTATCATATAAGTGAAAGGCCTCCGCTGGATGTTTATTCCATCCTTTATTTCAACAACATTCTATTGTATTAGCGATAGAATAGTTAAACACATTGCGACAGCGCTCCTGAGAGTCAATAGAGTTGGTTACTCTTCTGTCAACGACAAGTACCTTCGCTTTGACCTATACGCGGTCGAATAACCTCAAAATAGTCTTTGAAGCACCAGCCCATATATAAAATTTGTTTTCCATTTTTGGTGGAATATAAGTGGAGTAAATAGTAAGAAGATGGATGATGGAGTGAATGCTTCCTTTGACGCTTCAAATATGCTTTTAATCCATTTAAACTTAATCATTGAGACATTCAAATTTCAAAATTGTTATTGGGACCTATTTTACTACAATCTTCAGAAGGAAGGCGATCTGATGGAGTAAATGCTTCATTCGACATTTCAAATATGTTTTTAGTTCAGTGGACATTACACTGTATTCTCATGCCCAGAACATTAAGAGCTTTAAACTCTTGATGTCCAGATCATCAAGAGCTTTTAAACTACATCATTGAGTCCTATGGGTGTTAAGGTCGACTCATTTCCCACGACCACATTCAGAAATTTTTATTAGTCCAGTTTTGTCTCTATCTTCAGAAGGTTTCACTTGTAATTGAATGAGTAAGAATGGCAAATGTTACTGTCAACTGCAAAAGAATAGATAAGATTGGAAGTTAGACAAGGAATGGAGTAGGAGAAAGAACATAGTCTTGCTTTACCCCTGAATTAATCTAGAGGTCGTTTGGTGGGACAGACAGATTCAAAGAAAAATTAGCTGCATGAAATAGGAGAAAGAACGGAGCCTTAAGATACGTCTGAATTACTCTTGAACTCGTTTGACAAACAGGTTCAAAGAAAAATTCTCTTCACCAATTGCAAAAGCTCAACAGCTAAGCTTCTCTGGGGAAAAGCTCAGCGGTTGCTGAGCTCACATTCTGTCGTTCCTGAGTTAAGAATGCTATGATCGAGCTTGCTTAAAAGTTCCGTTATCTTGGTAGTTCAACTTCAAATAATAATAGGAATTTTATAATGATTTGGAACTTTTCATGGCACGGAAGAGAAAAGTCGAAATTCAATTGAATTAACTAATAGAGCGTAATCAATAACCAATGACTTCTTCGCCTTTATATGAGAGTACTTATCAATTTGAGAGCGCTTAAAGGCAAACGGGAAACATTTGGAACATTGTACATAAAAAATATTTAAACAGAGCAGCACTACTTTCACTGGAGGTTGTCAAATCTGTCGAGACTACTACTAACGTTATACTACCGATATCATGCTAATCGAAGAACGATTTCTTTTCATTTTTATGTTGGAAAGAGTAAAGAAACACGATCAGTAAACAATATTTATTTCATGCAATTCAAATCCTACACATTATCCTTCCACTAACATTAACTTTATCTTTCTAAGAAGATCTATCATTGAGAATTTTTTGTTTACTTTTCTAATCGTTTCTTAGAATTCTCATTGAGTTATGACATTTTTATCTCTTCCTAAACAAACATTTTGTAATGTCAAGTAATTTTCAAATACAAATTTTGTCACATTTTAAAGAGATGAATTCCTTTGAATTTTTAGATCTTGGATTTCTGATTTAATTTTTTTTTTGTCAATGAATTGTTTTTTTAGCTAAAATTGTTTTTAGGAATTTCCTGTTATGGTTTTGTGGTTTCTAAATAATAAAGAAGTAAATAAAAAGATTTTGTAAATTTTTGTTTTCATAATAAAATTTGTTTATATTTTTTAAAGCTGTTTTGTTTTTTTATCACAATTATTTTTTGTTTTACTTAAAAATATTTAATAAAGTTTTTTTTTTTTTTCTTAAATACTAAAGGAAGACTTTTCTTTAAAAAAATTGCTTAAAGTTAATTTGAACCAATGCTGCTGCCGCTGTATAACTGCTGCTAACAAAATATCACAATACAATTGCAGATGAAACAATTGTTTTTTTGTTTTAAAGCTTTTTGTTAAAGTTGTTGTTTAGTGTTAAAAACTTAAGCTTGAGCCCAACGATCTTGGAATTGCATGATGGGATATTGATTGTTGCTATAGCAGTAGGCAGGTTGCAATAGATCTTCATCAACAGCTGGCATAATGGTGCTGGTAACGGGTTGCAAATTGGTAGTCCAGAAGAAAGTACCGGCTTCAGTGCGAGCAAAACGTACTGGAACATAAATGTCTTCTTGATCATCTTGTTCCTCTTCATAGGCCATGACTGAGAGTTTTTCATTGGCGGAATTGTCTTCCATTTCATTGAAGTATTGTTGTTGTTCGGCTTGCATGTTGCGCATGTTATCCAAATCCTCAAAGGTTTCTGTGCTGGAGGATTTGTTTTGTTTCTTGAAAAAAGTCTTCAAGACTTTCTTGATGCTGTAGGTGGCGGTTTTCATTTTGTTGTTGGTGGCGGCGGTGGTGTTGTTGGAGTTAGCCAATTGTTGCATTTGTTGACACATTTTGTTTAAATGTTTTTTGTTTTGTTTGGAAAATTTAATAAAAATTTGTTGCAAGTAGCTGTTGCTTGTGTTGAACACGAGAAGTGAATGATGTTGTTTTCGAAATGTCTGGGCCTTTTTATACTCATGACGACTGCATTTCCTTAACGAAAGCAGAGAGTGAGTGGCACACGGAAAGGGAGAATTAACAGCTAAGGAAATAAACAATAAGAGAACAAAAATTTTATGTTAAAACAACTACAAAAAACTACCTTCAACACGCACAAGTGTGTATGCCTCACCCTAATTCTTGAGGCCACAAGCAAGAACGTGCTTGTTTAGTTAGTTTAATGTTTATTTATTTTTTTTTGACAGAGAGAGCAGTGGCAAGAGCATTATTACTCTCTCGATCCCTTTGTTAGGCAGGTTAGAGAGTAGTGTTTGTTGTTGTTGGTGGTGTTATAGTGTTGCAGGAATTAAACAAAAAGGGATCGAACCCCTGCACACAAAAAAGAACTGAAAGTGTGGGAAAATAATTTCAAATATTCAATTTTTTCGGGGTTTCAATACAAAAAAAAATTGTATACAATGAGTTTTATTGATAAATGCATGTCTGTTTTTATGTGTTTCTGTCCGTCTGTCTGCAGCAAATACATTAAGTGTTTACTTTTACTCGAGCTCGTCTTACTTAGTTTCTGAAAAAAAAACAGGGGGAGAAAGAAAAAGTCCATATAAAAAAAATTGGCAGGTGTTTGTAACAAAATTTTCTCATGATTTTTTCGAAACATTAAAAAGGGATCTTTTTTGTTTTTTTGTAAGATATTGGCTGTGTATGGCTATATAATGTTAAGATTGTTGTTATTGTTTTTTATACTTAAGGATTTAAGGAAGATCTTATTCCGTATGATTGTTGTAGGTTTTTGTTAATAAAAGAACCCTCCCCAGAGGATTCAACAACATTAAACTCGAAAAAAGGGATTGCATTTTCATACATTTCCGTGGGAACTGGAAAAAATTTTGTAGCATTCCCACGCATAAAAGTAACAAAACAACATAAGGATACTCGTTATCCTGTGTAAGGGTATTGCTGTTATTATTTTTATTATTGCTTTTGTTGTTGTTTTTAATGCATTTTAAACGTATTTAGTTCAGGGAGTTTTGGTTAAATTTTATCACACAAAATGTATAATAAGCTGAAGTTGTACAACAACAAAAATAATGAGCAACATGTTGGCAACGAGTCATGATTACGTCGTCGTCATCATCATCATCACCATCATCCTCAACTGTAGTAAGAAGTACTTCATGCTGCTTATAAGCAAGCGTATAAAGTGAGCGACCTCAATCATTAACATCAGCGTCAACTACATTGTCATGAGGCCTCATACATGGAGTGTAGAATACAACAACAACACAAAAAGATCAACCAATTAATACCTTTTTATTACTTAATGTATAAATATATTGTTGCATTTAGTTGTTTTCATTTATTTCAGAAGAGGGGAGTTTACGAGTTTCAAAAAAAAAAACTTATTACAATTGTACATTTTTAACTGTAGTTAGGGGAGAATCTTCCCAGGCTCTTAAAAACCCATACAAAGTTATTTAGTAAAAGGCATCTAGAGATATTTTGTTTTATTTTTTTGAAATCATTTTAATTGTTAAACTATTTACACTTGTTGCAAGTATGTTTTACTCATACTACAACTCTGTTGTAGTTGTTAATGTCTAATCAAGGTGTTGAAATATTATGTCTATTTTAGAGTAATATTTACTAACAACTAGTATAACAATTAGTTATCACTTCTCTACTAATTTATTACTTCTACTTAAGATCACTTTCCCATGAAATGTTTCAAACTCTTTTAATTACTTCGACTAATATTATGTTTAATTTTAAGTGACAATTTTTGATCTTTTATATAGATTTACTCTTTACTCTTTGTTGCTTCTTTGTACTCTGGTACAGTTGTGTAAACCTCTTTATCATATTATTGCTCTCTTGGGGGGAGTTTAAGATCTTTACAATCTTATCTCTTCTTAGCGTGGGAGTTGGTTTTAAAAGATCAATGTTCTTTTAAGCACAACAATATGTATATTTTGATTTTTGTTATAAAATTTTAATAACACTCAACTCTTTAGTTTGTTCTTACTCGGTAGGAGGTAGTGGTGATGTGATCTGAATTGAAAAGAGATAATTGTAGCTTATCTTGGGAGGGGGGTTGTTAGGAAATATATAAACAAATTTATGTCAATAGAAATGTATATCATTGAATATCAATTAAAAGTTGACTGCTAGTGTTATCAAAAGAAGTTTATTAAGTGATCGTGTTGAATTGGAATTGATCCGTCTTTGATGTATTGCAACACATGATTAAGTTGTTCGGTTATGAAATCTCGTCTCTAATCATCTCTGATCGTTTCTTTTGCAAAAACGATCACTTGTTTTAAAAATAGTTGAAGACTTGATTAAAAAGATCAGTTACGAAAGGCAGTGATAGATCATTATTTAAAGCGAGAAGTTTTTACAAAGTGTTAGTGATTTAATGTAAAAGGTGGGGAGATCATTTTAGCTTATCTCTTGAGAGGGGTTAAAAAATCTAAACTAATTTGTCACAATAAAGATTTTGCGATAAGTTTTATAAGTGATCGCATAGATTTTCTATAAGAAATTATGATTTTTTGAGAGATTAAAATGTTCTATTGAGAAATGCAATGTTAAATCAACTGATCGTTTCCTTTTGGAAAGCTAAGACAATCACTAGTTAGTTAGTTTGAAAGGAGAATGTATATACATCAAATCCGAAGAAATACACCTAGGCCTCTATCGGGCCTGTTGTGCGCTCCTTAACCAGTGCCTCAGGTGGGAATCGAACCCACCACCTCCGGTCTACCAGACTAGAACACTAACCACTAACCTACCGGAGGCCAATCACTAGTCTTGATTAAAATGATATGTTACGAATGGCAATGTTCAAACTTCGAACAAATTCCGATTTAAAATGAGTTTTTTTAACGATTCTTCAAGATTTACAAGATGAAAGAGTAGGAAAAGAATAAATTTAACTTTTACAGTATTTAAAAGGTCTGGTTTTTAATGATCCTCACATTGGAGTCTAGGATTTGTTCTGAAAACTGAACTAAGCTCAACCTTTCTATTAACAGACAAAGGGGCTGTTTAAGTTTTAGCTTCCTTCAGTTACGAAGAGCTTTACATTTAATAGCTCGCAGATGTGGAGAAATAGATCCACTAAAAGAATAAAAACAATCAACAACTACTATAGTTTCATCTTAACCAGGGAACATGTAATCTATAAGAATCATAACACTTCATTCTTTTAAAATCCGGAAACTAGCGAAATGCCTACACTTTCTACAAAACGATAACTTACATCAGTTCAAAGGTCACGAAGTTCAAATAAACTTCAGCAGCAAAGGAAACCAGATAAAGATACTTTATATTATTTAAAAGTCCATGAGAATGAAAACAAAGTCACACTTTCCAAATAAGAGCAATATCAACAAAGTAAAATGTTTGAGATTTTTGCAGGGTTAAAGTTCAACATAGAATATTAATGACAGATAACAAAGTCTTATATGAAATTTGAAACCTTTAACTATATATGTACATGCAAACGTTCAACATTTATGCAAGGTCAAAGTTCAAGGTTGCATATTTCAAAGAAAAAGGATGTAAATCCGCAGATTGCAGCAAAAGACCAACAAAAATATAAAAAAAACCTTACACTTGCCACAAAGAAAATGCAAATATAGCAGCAACTGTCATGCCTATGTTGCCTATTATTGTTGCTGTTGTTGTCTGAACACAAGTCAAGTTCAAAACATAGACTTTATGACTTTGACTTGCTGCCACAAAGCAGTTATGCACGCGCAGTTTTAGGGAGTGTAACTGCCAAAACGCGTTAGAACTTAATGCATTTTAAGGGTGTGTTGTGTTAGAGTGCACTCTACGACAAAAAAAAAACTAAATGGAAATTTTGAAATTTACACCCAAAAACCCACACACGTGCTTAACTTAGAAGAGCGTCTTAACTACTTTCTATTGCTTAGTAGAGGCTTAGAAAATATTTAGGTGTTTTGTATGCACTTGCCACAAGATAAGAAGTAATAGTAGAAGAAGCATTAGAGTAAATAAATACATTGAACGTGGGTTAAACACACGTCTTGTGTTTGCAGTAGTTAAGTTGAAGGTTATGTTAGGAGGAAAAAGAAAACAAGTGGTTAGACACATTCTTGAACATGACAGAGATTTTTTTAATTGATTTTTTTTTAGAAAGAAAATGTGAAGTATACTTTGAGGGGAGGTGATGTTGATAAGGAAAGCAAAATATCAACAATAGGATATGTCTTTAGAAATTCATTTAATTAACTAAATCGTTATAAAATCTCATGTGATCATACTAAATAAAGAAAACTGATCACATTCAAAATCTTAGATTTGCTGTAATGAGTTAAATAGCAAATGACCATCTATTAACAAAAGCTCCATGAAATTTCATCTGCGCTAATTGGATCTAATGTGCAATTACTCCAAAATCTTATTGAATGTTTTTAAAACTGTGGAAAAGTTCAAACAATGATGTCTTGGAACTCCCTGATCAAATTTGTATTACAAAACATAACCTTTAAGTGAGTTAGTTAGTTAGTTAGTTAGTTAGTTAGTTAGTTAGTTAGTTAGTTAGTTAGTTAGTTAGTTAGTTAGTAGTTAGTTAGTTAGTTAGTTAGTTAGTTAGTTAGTTAGTTAGTTAGTTAGTTAGTTAGTTAGTTAGTTAGTTAGTTAGTTAGTTAGTTAGTTAGTTAGTTAGTAGTTAGTAGTTAGTTAGTTAGTTAGTTCGAGTTTCGTTATTTTGTTTCGTTCGTTCGTTTTTCGTTTTAGTTCGTTCGTTTAGTTGTTCTTCGTTGTTCGTTCGTTGTTCGTTCGTTCGTTCGTGTTCGTTGTAGTTCGTTCGTTCGTTGTTCGTTGTTCGTTGTTCGTTTTCGTTAGTTCGTTTCTTGTTCGTTGTTCGTGTTGTCGTTCTCGTTCGTTCGTTCGTTGTTCTGTTCGTTCGTTTTCGTTCGTTTATTTCGTTT